TATAGGTTACAGTGACCTACCACTGATATATTGGTGGATATAGGTTACAGTGACCTTCATCTGATATATAGGTGTGTATATAGGTAACAGTGACATACATCTGATATATTGGTGCATATAGGTTACAGTGACCTACCACTGATATATTGGTGTATATAGGTTACAGTGACCTACATCTGATATATTGGTGTAGTGCTCAAGATAAAGCCATAAATAGTATGGCTAAATCAATACATTAACATAATGATACAATATGGTGGTCACAATACTGTGATCACAATACAATACGGTGGTCACGATACTGTGATCACAATACAATACGGTGGTCACAATACTGTGATCACAATACAATCCGGTGGTCACAATACTGTGATCACAATACAATATGGTGGTCACAATACTGTGATCACGACACAACATGTATTACGATACTGTGATAATGATACAATATGCATCACGATACTGTGATCACAATACAATATTGTGGTCACAATACTGTGATCACAATACAATACGGTGGTCAAAATACTGTGGTCACGACACAACATGTATTACGATACTGTGATAATGATACAATATGTATCGCGATACTGTGATCACAATACAATATGGTGGTCACAATACTGTGGTCGCGACACAACATGTATTACGATACTGTGATAATGATACAATATGTATCACAATACTGTGATCACAATACAATATGGTGGTCACGATACTGTGATCACAATACAATATGGTGGTCACAATACTGTGATCACAATACAATACGCATCACGATACTGTGATCACAATACAATATGGTGGTCACAATACTGTGGTCGCGACACAACATGTATTACGATACTGTGATAATGATACAATATGCATCACGATACTGTGATCACAATACAATATGGTGGTCACAATACTGTGATCACAATACAATATGGTGGTCACAATACTGTGGTCGCGACACAACATGTATTACGATACTGTGATAATGATACAATATGTATCACGATACTGTGATCACAATACAATATGGTGGTCACAATACTGTGGTCACGACACAACATGTATTACGATACTGTGCTAATGATACAATATGTATCACAATACTGTGATCACAATACAATCCGGTGGTCACAATACTGTGGTCACGACACAACATGTATTACGATACTGTGATAATGATACAATATGTATCACGATACTGTGATCACAATACAAGACGGTGGTCACAATACTGTGATCACAAAACAATACGTTAGTCATGATACAATACCTATCACGATACTGTGATCACAATACAATACCTATCACATACACAATACTTTGGTCATAAAGTGATACGTTTCACAATACAGATAGTAACAGTAGAAGCAAAGAAAAAACATGGTAATATTACAACTGAAAATAGACTTGGTCCAAAATGGGCATGACTTTAAAGTTTCACATAATACACGTCTCCTGACGTGCATGCCGAGCTGGAGCTGTCACTCGCCAGGTTGGAATAGACATGATTAGACTAAATACAGAAACGACAAAACCAGGAAAATAACATTGATGAATCGTGACCTCTCAAAAAATATTGTGTATTGCACTGTATTCAAAATATCGTGATATTATCGTTGCAGGTTATATCGCTGCAGCTCTATTTAATAGAGCATCTTACATTTGTGTCCATGTCATATTGAATTTATTAGACGAGTTCATTACTTTGATATGACGAAAGCATTTAAGCTCAAATTATTGAACAAGTTTAATAAATTCAATACGACATGGACACGAATATAAGATTCTATTTATGACATAACATTCATAATAATAAAAAATGATTCAATCAAAATTATGTGTTCTCAGCTGACTCTATGTAAGTGAAAACCGAAGTACTCTGATCATAGTATTGTCTTTCTGCCCAGTGCAAAGTAGTTCCATGTTTGATTTTTTTTATTAATGAACATTTTTAAAAGCAATGAAAATAATAATGACAAAATGACAAAACATTTCATTTAAAACAACAGTAAATGTTTCATGTGTTATAGAAAATAAAAGTAGTACCTGTAGTGGCGTAGGAATATATTACAATGGTTTTGACCTTTAGGTTTTATTACACGTGTGTATTATCATATTTATGACATGACCGTATACATAGTACAATTGGTCAGTTATGAGATAAATGATGTTAAAAGACGGATGGACTTCCTGCATTTGAGTCATGAAGCTAAACACACCATATCACCTCCATGTTGTACTGTATGGTTTGGCAGATGGGGATTTTATCATCTTAGATGTTTAAAACAAGACCATCACCTCTTCTAAGCTGGGTTTTCTTCAAACTTCCTAGCACTATGTTTCAGCAAGCTTAAGGCTTAATATTATGACTCTTGACCTTTTAAGTTGACTAGCCTTTTAAGTATTTTTTCAAATTTGACCTCTGTGGACTTGAATATAAACCAAGGTCATTACTTTTTTCGTTTACATTTGTTGCATCACCTTATTTCAGCGAGTTATTGGCCTTGTTAGGAGTTCTTATAAAGTTGTTTGGACATTTAAACAAATTTGACCCTCATGACCATGAAAACCAGTCAGGGTCATTTCATTTTGAAAAGTTTATGGCACTACAATTTAATAAGCTTCTGCCCATAAATCATGACTCTAGGCTTTTTGTTCTTTCTTAGAAGCCATATGAGTGTTCTAACAGATTTGACCCCTGTGACCTTTAATATGGATAAGAATCATTTCTTTTCTCCAATTTCGTAGCACTCCATGCCACAACCACTAACTATATATTATGACTTTAGGCTTCTTGGTTTTTCAGAAGATACAGTTTAAACAATTGAACACATTTGACCCCTGTGACCTAGGATATCAAACAAGATCATTTTTATCACATGTGAAGTTCTCCATGCCAGCAAGCTACATACTATATACATTATGACTCTTGGTTCTTCAGAAAAAGTCATTCGAGTGTTTCAACCGATTTGAACAATGAAAGGTCAAGGCTTTAAGTTATCCCAAACTTTTAATGCAGTTCATGCAAGCCTCATTCTGGTCACTTTTTAAGTCTGCAGGATTTTTCATTCTTCAATAAGCTTTCTGACTGTTTAATAGATTTGACCCTTGTGATCTTCATGATAGTTCAAGGTCATTGCTTTTATGAAGGTTTTAAGCACAGCTAGCTACTGCCTTATATATCATGACTCTATGCCTTTCCATTTATCAGAAGAAGCTGTTTGAGTGTTTAAACAGATTTGACCACTGTGACTTAAAATATAACTCAAATAATTTCTTTTCACACTTTTGTAGCTCTTACTACCAGCAAGCTACTGGCAATATTTCTGTGATTCTTAGGCATCTTGTTGTTTCAGAGAAGGCTGCTGTAGATTTTTAATTTGAATAAAAGTCAAGGTGATTTAATTTAAACCACCATGCAGCATTCCATGTCAAGAAGTTACTGCCCATATATTAAGACTCCGGGCCTTTTGGTTCATCAGACAAAGATGTTAGGAGTGTTTAAGCATTCAAGTTCTGCGCAGTAAAGTGCAAAGCGCCCCCTAGTGGTGCTGCATACACAAAGTTACTGTTTTCCTTGAACATTTTGTGATACATTTACTAAAAGTACTATAATGAATATCAAAGTACTGTAAAGTGTTTTAATTTTGCGGTGTCAAATTTTCGAGTTTTCGTATATGGAACTTATTTGAGGGGTCTTAAATTCGCATCACACCTATTCCGAAACGGAATATGGACATGAATGATATTGAAAGTATCAAATGGCAGACCTATAATCAAAATTTTTCGCTTGGATTTTGAATTCGCGTTTTGAAAGTAAATCTTGAATTCAGCAAAATAAAAGCGCTTTACAGTTATTAAACAGCTGATAAGTTACAAGAAGACAATTTTAGACACCTCAAATGCCCCTTATGGGCCCAGGAAGAGCCTTATGGGCCCAGGAAGAGCCTAGCCTCTTTTTCTTTACAAATCTAAATCGCCATCACCTAGCTTTTTCCTTACAGACTGGGCAGACACCAGGAACTAGCTGCAGGTTGGTGTTTTTTCTCTGGGTACTGGCCAGTACACCAGTTTTCCTCCACTGCCAAAATCTGGCACACCCTTAAATGACCATAGCTGTTAATAGGACATCAAAAACCAGCAAACCAAACAGACTTGGTTTTATTTGGATTTGCAGAAGAAGATTGTTCAAATTAAAGTTTATAAAAGGATGATGGACAACATTTATTTGGATTTAAAGTTCTTCAGAAGAAGATTGTTCAAATTAAAGTTTATAAAAGGATGATGGACAACAGACAACATACGGCAATGGATAGCAACAGCTCTTCACTTGGCCTTTTAGGACAATATAGTTTGGTTTGTTTGGGTTTTATGTCCTATTAACAGGTATGGTCACCGTGCCCGGTTTTGGTGGTAGAGGGAAGCCAGATTTCATGGAGAAAAACCACTGGCCTACAGCCAGTACCTGGGGACTGCCCCACGTAGGCCTCGAACCTGCAACACAGTGGTGGAGGGATAGTGGTAGCATATATAGCGAGGCGAGTTAAAGTTTGGGGACACAGACCGACCCATCTGATATTTCTATGAAGGTAATGTATACAAGGATATTTTCAATGCAATTAAACTTTCGCCTTTTTCGCCCACCATAATAATGAAGGTGAATTTATCAGATAATAATTATAACAATTTGGGGTTCTTATATACCGCTTTATCAAAACCTAGTTTGTAGGTCGTCTCAAAGTGGCTCACAAATTATTATCTGTGGTTATAGGGCCTTTGCAACCAGCCATTATCTTTCTCAACTCCCTGGGGAGCCCAAATACTCATTTACAGCTGAGTAGACTTGAACAAGTGGAGTAAGGTATCTTGCTCAAAGATACAACACTGTGCGGTGACGTGACATGACTCAAACAAGCCTGGTGTCCTACCACTAGACTACTGTGCCTCTTTTATCATGACAGTGATTAAAAGAATACCATATAGTAAGTTAACATGAGGGGTGAAATCAACACAGGGTGAAAGGCAATTTCATGTGTGAAGGGCGAAAGTTTCCCGGGGGACAGTATATGTTTTGAGTTGTCTGTCAAACAAACAGTTTCTTATTTTTGGCCTCTCTGCCTTTGTTTTATACAAAAGTCAGTGTTTTTGTCAGACATTGAAGTTGGGGTAAAGTCAAGCAGAAATCCGGCATTCTGACCTCTTTACAAGGCAAGTCTCTAATATTTTGAGGGTCAAGAATGCAGGAGGTCATATATCCCTAAATAAGGGTTAACAGACACCCTGAATGCAAACTCCCTTGTCCAAGGTGTGTTCCAAGCTAAGGTAGGTTAAACATTCCTCAATTTTGATTTTAACCCTTTTACTACTGTAGACCATAATGGACTCATCCAGATCAATGCATGGTGGAGTCTACTAAAGTTACATAGGGGTGAAAGGTTTAAAGGGTAGTAATTTAAAGAATTACCTCCCTCTTTCCATACTTGGTCTGGCCCATCTGTCCCCTAATTGAGTTACACCACTGATTTATACCTCGATCATTTCCTTGACCGAGGGATGCTCCATGACAGTATTTCTTTTTAGATGTAGCTCCCCCACTCCTCTATTTCCTCTGCCCCAAGAGTAGTCATGCAACTTACAACATTGAAATCCCTTTGCCAAGGGATATACAATGCCAAATTAACATTAAAATCCTTTGCTTTCTGCCATTATTAAGGAAAATACTTTTAAAATGTACCCACATTTAACTAAATGGGCATCCCAAACTAAATTGGACACCCCAACCTTACATTCTCACCCTAACCTAAAACCAACACCCTTCCATCCTACCCTACATCTGACACCTCACTGGAACACCGACACCCTACCCTATGTCTGATATCTCACTGTAACACTGACACCCAACCCTATATCTGACACCTCACTTTAACACTGACACCCTACCCTGTATCTGACACATCACTGTAACACCGACACCGGTACCCTACCCTATATCTGACACTCCACCCTAACACTGACACCCTACCCTGTATCTGACACCTCACTGGAACACCGGTACCCTACCCTATATCTGACACTCCACCCTAACACTGACACCCTACCCTATATCTGACACCTCACTGTAACACCAACACCCAACCCTATATCTGACACCTCACTTTAACACCGACACCCTACCCTATATCTGACACCTCACTGTAACACCTACACCCTCCCCTATACCTGACACCTCACTGTAACTCTGACACCCTACCCTATATCTGACACCTCACTTTAACACTGAAACCCTTCCCTATATCTGACACCTCACTGTAACACTGACACCCTACCCTATATCTGACACTCCACCCTAACACCGACACCCTACCCTATATCTGACACTCCACCCTAACACTGACACCCAACCCTATATACACCCAACCCTATATCTGACACCTCACTTTAACACCGACACCCTACCCTATATCTGACACTCCACCCTAACACCGACACCCAACCCTATATCTGCCACCTCACTGTAACACCTACACCCTACCCTATATCTGACACCTCACTGTAACTCTGACACCCTACCCTATATCTGACACCTCACTGTAACAACGACACCCTACCCTATATCTGACACCTCACTGTAACACCGACACCCAACCCTATATCTGACACCTCACTGTAACACCGACACCCAACCCTATATCTGACACCTCACTGTAACACCGACACCCAACCCTATATCTGACACCTCATTTTAACACTGTAACCCTACCCTATATCTGACACCTCACTGTAACACCGACACCCTACCCTATATCTGACACTCCACCCTAACACCGACACCCTATCCTATATCTGACACCTCACTGTAACAACGACACCCTACCCTATATCTGACACCTCATTTTAACACTGTAACCCTACCTTATATCTGATACCTCACTGTAACACTGACACCCTACCCTATATCTGACACTCCACCCTAACACTGACACCCAACCCTATATCTGACACCTCACTGTAACACCATCACCCTACCCTATATCTGACACTCCACCCTAACACTGTGACCCTACCCTATATCTGACACCTCACTGTAACACCGACACCCAACCCAATATATGACACTCCACCCTAACACTGACACCCAACCCTATATCTGACACTCTACCCTAACACCGACACCCTACCCTACATGATACCTCACTCCAACACCGTCACCCAACCCTATATCTACCGCTCCACCCTAACCCTGACACCCACCCCTATAGCTAACCCGCTACCCTAACACTGACACCAAACCCGATATCTAACACTCCACCCTAACACCGACCCCCTACCCTACATGATACCTCACTGCCTATATCTAACACCTCACTGTAACACCAACACCCAACCCTATATCCCCCACTCCATCCTAACACTGACTCCCAACCCTATATCTGACTCTCCACCCTAACACTGAGACCCAACCCTATATCTGACACTCCACCCTAACACCGACACCCTACCCTACATGATACCTCACTGTAACACCGACACCCAACCCTATATCTGACACCTCACTCTAACACTGACACCCTACCCTATATCTGACACTCCACCCTAACATCGACACCCAACCCTATATCTGACACTCCACCCTAACACCGACACCCTATCCTATATCTGACACCTCACTGTAACAACGACACCCTACCCTATATCTGACACCTCACCCTAACACCGACACCCAACCCTATATCTGGCATTCCACCCCAACACTGACACCCAACCCGATATCTGACATTCCACCCTAACACTGACACCAAACCCGATATCTAACACTCCACCCTAACACTGACACCCAACCCTATATCTAACACTCCACCCTAACACTGACACCCAACCCTATATCTAACACTCCACCCTAACACTGACGCCCAACCCTATATCTGACATTCCACCCTAACACTGACCCCCAACCTGATATCTGACATTCCACCCTAACACTGACGCCCAACCCTATATCTGACATTCCACCCTAACACTCACACCCAACCCTATATCTGACATTCCACCCTAACACTCACACCCAACCCTATATCTGACATTCCACCCTAACACTCACACCCAACCCTATATCTGACATTCCACCCTAACACTGACACCCAAACCTATATCTGACATTCCACCCTAACACTGACCCCCAACCTGATATCTGACATTCCACCCTAACACTTACACCCAACCCTATATCTGACATTCCACCCTAACACTCACACCCAACCCTATATCTGACATTCCACCCTAACACTCACACCCAACCCTATATCTGACATTCCACCCTAACACTGACACCAAACCCGATATCTAACACTCCACCCTAACACTGACACCCAACCCTATATCTAACACTCCACCCTAACACTGACGCCCAACCCTATATCTGACATTCCACCCTAACACTCACACCCAACCCTATATCTGACATTCCACCCTAACACTGACACCCAACCCTATATCTGACACTCCACCCTAACACACCCTAAATCTTACATACGTTGTCAGCCCAAACACTGCCCCTGTCCTGTAATGCAGCTAGCTTACCACTGGTACTGCTGCAGACATGCACACACAGAGGCATGTTGCTGGGGTCCCTGGCCAGGTGTGGACAATGAATGGCCATCATCCTCACCCCCAGTCAGTCACAGACCCACAGTTCATCCTGTCCAAGTGTAGAGCCAACAGCAAGTCTGGAGGGGGTTGTTAGTAACAGCACGTTTTGAGGGGGTTGTTAGCAACAGCTAGTCTTTAAGGGGTTGCAAGCAACAGCACGTCCCAGTGGTGAGGGCAATTGAACCCCTATAGTGTGATTATAAACAAGTTGCTGGATGGTGGACGGGCGAGAGGGAGATATTTATATTTCTCTAATGACACAAGGACAGCAGTTACAAAAGTCGGTGTGATTTTCCCATGAGAATAATCTTAGCTGTTACGACAGTAGCAGTATAGTTACAGTGTATGCTCCTTGTTGTATCAGCATCATAGCAGTATAGGTCCAGTATGTATACTGCTATCCAAGATATTTCAGCAGTTGATCAGTATACGATGATGTCGATGATATATCAGTTACGTTTCAGCGTAGTTGATGTCTTCCACGTATCATATACACGGATGTCCACAAGATATCAGTATTGTTTCAGTATACACGGATGTCCGCAAGACATCAGTATTGTTTCAGTATACATGGATGTCCACAAGATATCAGTATTGTTTCAGTATACATAAATGTCCACAAGATATCAGTACTGTTGCAGTATACGCTGATTGCTGTGATAAACATGTATTCATATTATTTCGGTTACGCTGATGTCAATATATCAATATCATTCCAGTATATGCTGTTTTCCACAATTTATTAGTATTATTCCAGATTAGCTGATGTCAATATATCAGTAATGTTCCAGTATATGCCAATTTCCACAATACATCAGTATAATTTCAGTATGTGCTGTTGTCCACAATATATCAGTATCATTCCAGTATAGCTGAAGTCAATACATCAGTATTATTTCAGTATATGCTGTTACACAGGAGTAAATCAGCACCGTAACAGTACAGGTAGTTGTATGATGACAGGTGTCTGTAGCAGCTTCGCCTCCCCAACACCCCTCTAGGCTGAGCCAGACAACTGCAGGGGGCACGCACCGGACATAGGTAGGGGGCCCCACTTGTCCTGAGGGGGACAAGCGTTTCGTGGGCGTAGAATCTTTGTGGGGGGTCCTACAGCGTGACTTACAGCAACTAAACTCACGATCACCTCCTCCTGTACACAACACACATGGAACCTCAGACAGTCTACACAGCCTTGCATAACAACACAAAAATCTATATTCTATCTACAGCCAGACTTACACACATGTACACATGGCCCAGACACACACAGGCAACTATACCTACACCAGTCTACATAACCCCAACATCAGCTTTCTCAACCTGTACTAAATTCAACCCAAAAAACCTCACTCATCATATCAACAGTTGATACTTTCAATATTTTTTATCTTTGCTGATCATTTCAAATCTAATTATGTACAAATTTTTATTCAATTTTTTTAAAGAAATGATAAAACTGCTATCAAGAAAATTGTTTCAAGAAAGGCGGCGTGAAGCTAGCTAGGCATGCAGACAGTTGTGTCTGGTGTATATACTGTGTGTATGGCAGCAATGGGCCAATACATCTACCTTGCTTCTCTATTACCAGAAAAAAATCCATATTCCTTGTCTATATTACTACTAACTCTGTTATGTCACCACTTCCCAGATACTGATTTTTTTCTCTCCAAGTGACCCATCTTATTAATATTCATTAATTCAAATGAATATTCAAATCAGTCATCTGATGAATATTCATGATTCTGTCTCACACAACATGGACCTGCTGATGAATATTTATGAACAATTTACATGTAGTTTTCAATTAACTCTTTGAAACGAAAATAATAATAATCATGATGTACTGATTTGCAGCACAATGTTTGGTTTAACCGTTTCACCCCTATATAACTTCAGTCGACTCTCCCATGTATTGATCCTGACGAATCCAATATAGTCTACAGTGGTGAAAGGGTTAATAAGCAACCATGCCACATGAATATTCAACAGAGCAAACTCATAGACACCAGGAGAGATAACATGTTCTCTTGGTCTGTAATTAAAGGAAAAATACTATTCCAAAATTTACCAGGTTCGCTTACAACTAGAACACTGACAGGTCAGTAAGGGCCCCGTCTTGTGGCAATATATACCCCATAATCATCAAGAAGTAATCTGCCCATATAGCTGAGCTTGACGTTTGATATTTGAACTTCAAAAAGAATCACAAGGAAGCAAAATATACATTTTACATGTACTATGATGTGAGTCTTGTTTCCTTCCACCTCCATATTTGCTGGGCTAACAGAAATGTAAATACCGGTGCAATACTCATTTGTTAGCTTTGAATTGTTTTATTTCACCTTATTTACCTCCTCCATCAAGAGCCAGGGTGACAGTCACAGATCCACATTGTCTTTGACCTTTGGACTCAAAAGACCTTGACTTATTCCTTAATTCCGACCAACTTTGCTTCTTAATATCATAACAAAATGTTCATCAGTGAAAAATACAAAACTTGACCTTGACCCTTTGCACCCCATAACCTGGACCTAAGGTCAGTTAACTCTGTGTTAAGTTCTGAATAACATTGCTTCATAATGTCATAACAAAATGTTCATCAGGGAAAAGGTACAAAATTTAACCTTCACCTTTAACCCAGTGACTTTGACTTTTGGTCAATTGACTCCTTGTTTAATTCTGAGCAACATTGCTTCAAAGTGCCATAGCGAAATGTTCACTAGTGAAATGATACAAAATTTAACCTTGACCTTTGACCCAATGACATTGACCTTTGGTCAGTTGACTCCTTGTTTAATTCTGATCAACTTTGCTTCATCATGTCATAACAAAATGTTCATCAGTGAAAAGATGCAAAATTTGCCCTTGACCTTTGAATCTAATAACCTTGACCTTTGACCTCGACTTTTTACCTCAGTGTGTCTCTTTGTTAAATTACGAACAACTTTCCTTCATAGTGTCATAGCGAATGTTCACCAGTGAAAAGCTACAAAATTTGACCTTGACCCCTGACCCGATGACCTTGACCTTTGGTCAGTTGACTCATTGTTTAATTCTGATCAATTTTGCTTCATATTAACAAAATGTTCATCAGTGAAAAGATGTAAAATTTGACCTTGACCTTTGAACCTTATGACCTTGACCTTTGACCTTGACTTTTTACCTCAATGTGTATTTTTATGAATTGAACATCTTGACCAAGTTTCATGTACATCAGTCAATTAATACTAAAGTTATCAGCCAGGAACAAAATTTGTGGACAGACAGACAGAACAAAATTTGTGGACAGACAGACAGACAGACAGACAGACAGACAGACAGACAGACAGAGTGATTACTATAGGACACCCGTATCTCCGATACGGGGCCCTAATAATTTATGCATCCAAGCTGAACACCTATATTAGAATCTGCACTTGAAACAATCTTTCTAAAGTAACCTTCTATAAAGAGAACACCATTTTCTCCTCCTAACAAACCATTTTCTCCTTTCAATAAACCACCATTTTCTCATCCCAACAAACCATTGACTTCTATCAACAAAACACCATTTTTTCCTCCTAACAAACCACCATTTCCCTCTCCCAACAAACTACCATTTTCTCCCCCCCCCCCCCCACCAACCCCCCTTTTTCCCCCCCCAAAAACCCCCCCTTTTCCCCCCCCCCCCCCAACAAACTACCATTTTCTTCCCCACCTCCCCCAACAACTGACCATTTTCTCCTCCCAATAAACCACCATTTCTTCCTATCAACAAACCACCATTGTTTTCCCCTAACAAACTACCATTTTCTTCCCCACCTCCCCCAACAAACCACCATTTTGTCCTGCCAACAAACTGCCATTCTCTACCCCCAACAAACCACCATTTTGTCCTGCCAACAAACCACCATTTTCTCCTCCCCCAACAAACCACCATTTTCTCCTCCCAACAAACCATCATTTTCTCCTCCCAACAAACCATCATTTTCTCTTCCCAACAAACCATCATTTTCTCTTCCAAACAAACCATCATTTTCTCCTCCCAACAAACCATCATTTTCTCCTCCCAACAAACCATCATTTTCTCTTCCAAACAAACCATCATTTTCTCCTCCCAACAAACCATCATTTTCTCCTATCAACAAACCACCATTTTTCCTCCAAACAAACCATCATTTTCTCCCATCAACCAACAACTACTTTCTACTCCCAACAAACCATCATTTTTTCCTCCCAACAAACCATCATTTTCTCCTTCCAACAAACCACTATTTTCTCCTCCTAACAAACCAGTATTTTCTCCCTGCTAACAAACATCGGCAATGGTTTTTAACATTTTAACTTGTTATCATTCACCACCTTAAGCATCCCAAACAAATTCAAGAATCTTGCACATAATGATTTAATCATAGCATGCAATATCAAGTGAAAAAGAAATTACTGTCAGCCCAAGAGAAAACCTGACTAATATGACCTCTGAATATTCTGACATCCTGTTTAATCTACCATCATGCTGTAATCCATTTCCAATGGGACTCACGAATAAAACTTGTGGATTGCAAAACCCTGTTTAATCTGACTTTGTTGTGTTCCACAGGGTGTCAGATAAGACAGGTTACTTTAATACCAAGGATTGTCCAATTAGACAGTGAATATGATTACATGTTGTGTCCACAATTTGTTGTAGATACGATAAGTCAGGTCTAGACAATAAGGGAAGCTTGATAGTCTGGGACTAGTAAAATCTCCAGCTTGACCAATGGTTCTAAAAACTTCTAGCCTGATTCACTAGTCAAAACTTCATATCACTTATCTTGTTAATTAATATTAGGTTTGTGGAAACTGTGTATAGACTGGTATTATCAGAAACTATTATCCCGACTGACAAGTGTGTTTAACAAGAGGCCCATGGGCCTTAACGGTCACCTGATATATATATACAGAGAGTTGATTTTGTTTTTAACATGAACAGAAATATTATTCAAAGTGACAAAAAACAATAAAACCACCTTACTCAATATCTAGCATACAGATTTCAGACTAAAAAGGATTTGAAACTAGCACCTCTGATTCTTAACAAGGAAAATGAAGAAATTTTAGCACACTGACTCCTTTGAGCCCCACCCTACAGCCCTTGGGGGTAGGGCTGGCTCAAAATTTTCAAAGTATCAAACTGTCAATTCAAGGTTATAATTCCAATCAAGTTATTAACATGTA